GTCAATTTCCTGGACCTGCAGGGGCTCCCAGGGATGGCTGGGTCTGGATTCTGCTGTTTCTAGAGTCCTGACCAAGAGATAGAATCATAGAATATCAGGGTTGGAAGGGACCTCAGAAGGTCATCTAGTCCAGCCCCCTGCTCAAAGCAGGACCAATCCCCAACTAAATCATCCCAGCCAGGGCTTTGTCAAGCCTGAACTTAAAAACCAGATGAAGCCATTTTTGCCCTGATTCTCTTGTCATTTGCTATTTTATTTGGGGGAAAAGGCCCTTTTTAGCCAGCATTTTGACATTGTAACAAATGTTTATTTTGGTGCCTTTCAGTGTGGGGCAAATTTTTTTCTTTTTAAATGCTTTAAGAAATTAAAATGTATTGAGGGAGAGGAATAAAAGCCCAAAGCAAAGACACCCAGAAAAAGGTCACTGGCCTCTTGGCAGGACCCAGGGTGGCCTGTGCATAAGCAATAGACAGAGTAATTCTGTGTCACATGAGTGACTATGACCCAGATCCTCAAGCTGTGGCTGTTGCAGCTCAAGAGGTAGTTGCAAAGGTGGTCTTTGCGCTCTCCCAATCCTGGGCCAGCTGCGTTGACAAGCCAATTCCCTGGCATAATTTAGAACAACCTGAAGGCAGTTGTAAACAATACCGGGTGTACAAAATACCTCTTATGCCCCCTGTGCTGGCAGATAGGAGTAGGGGTGATGTAGGAGCCAATATACCAGCTCTACGCCACTGATGAGCCCTATGTGATACTCCTGTGGGGCCAAAATCCACCAGTAGTGCAGCACCAAGCAGCAAAGGGTTTGGGTTTGCTGTTTGGAACCGAATTACTCACATGGATACCTGAAGTCTAAGCAAGATCAGCCACCAAGAAAAAAGGAGAGAGTGAGAAGAGAGGAAGAAGAGGCAGAAAGACAGAGAGAGGCTAGAAAAGAGGGAAATGGATAACTTGACATATGGCTTTGTGGGAGAAGCTCCCAGGTGATGGATAATCCCTCCAGGCTGTTTCTTGACCGAATGACCAGGGTTTATTTCATAACACAGTTTATCAGACTCCCCTGACCCTAAACTGAGTAGGTTTCTGTAATCCTGAGATGCTGTTGCAGGAAAGACCCTCTCTCCCCAAATTAACCTAATTGCACTGTTTGCACTTGCTACCAGTTTACACCATGCAAGCACTTCGGATCAGACCCTCAGCTGGTGTAAACTGTGTGGCACCATTCTACTGAAGGCAACAAAGCTACAACAATTTACATTAGGTGAGGATCTGGCCCTTTAACTCTGCAGAACCTTTGAATTCTTGTTTTGAGATGACATAGGGGCCGGGGATTTGGGGGGCTCTGCCTCATATGGCAAGGGGAAACCAGGTCTTGTTTCCATTCCCGGGGAAGAAGATACATTTAAAGAGAGAGTTCTGGAAACTAGTCCAGGAGCCTATCAGGCTTTACAAATCCACCGCTCACAATTCAGCACTCCACAGCCATTACTGAGTCACTTGACTTCTGGGCAGCTGGAGTTGCTGCAGGAGACTTGTGACTTTTCCCATGGACTGCAGGTTTAGTGCAGTTTCCCTGTTGATACCCTGCTGCCTGGAATTTCAAGGCTGGCTTCATACTTCGGGAACACTCCAGACTGGACACTTCCTGGGTTGACCTTCTGTCCAATTGATTGATTCTTTTAAATCTCTTTACCACTATATTTTAAAAACTCAGCATCTGGGATGAGGGCAGCGAGTTGCGACTCCTGTTTTGAGCAGGATGAAGCTGGCGAGAGAGCACCACTATCCTTTCAATGCGTCTCACTAGCCCTGCAGCCCAAGAGACCCTGGCGTCACAAAAGAGAGGCAGATACCGGCTCTGGGATGTGCCAGTGGTGGAGGCTGGTGGGATTGAGTGGTTTGGCCCATTCTCCACAGATGCCCCTGATTATATCCCCTCACACCTTGATTCTGGCCACTGCCCCCTTCCAAGCCAAGACCAACCATTTTGGCCTCCTGGCCCCTTTCCAGCTGATTTTACCAATGCCAAGGAAGCTGCAGTGACTATATGGAACAGGAAGACCAGGCTCTAGTCTAATAGCTTCAGAACACAGCTGGCAAGGGCAGGCTTATCATTGGAGGAGGTACCTGTCACTCTAAAGTAGGCCACACTTCCCAGGGGACCCAACCCCACTTTCCCCCCAGGGTCGCATAGTACAATGACAGGAACTACAGAGCTGCCTAGCCATCTGGTCCATGTCTCTGCCAGTGCAGGATGGATCCCTGCAGGGCATGTCAGATGGCACCCAGGGTTTCTTTGGCACTAGTTTGTGAGCTGCTGATTCATATGAGGAGGGTGGTCCATCATGGAAGGGTATCATGGAGCAAATCACTGAGCAGTGCAGTGGCCCTAGTCAGCTGTGTTCTGACACTGAGTGAGTTAGAATGCCTGGATTCAGTGTATATCCTGCAGCTGCTCTGGGTTCTGGAAAAATCACCTTGGAAAGGGGCATTGTTTGGTCTCCTGTTCCTAAAATAAAAGATAAAATCAGCTTGCAAGCCACTGAGAGACGGACTGTTCCGAGTCCTTCTTAGCTTTCCAGCCCTGAGTTTGAAGTGCTCTTTGTTTCCCCTAATGAGGCCAATGACCCTGTTAAGATCCACGCCATCAGCCACACAGGCAGGAGTTCCTTGCTCTGATGAGCATGAGAAGTCGTCCTTCAGTCTGGTCACTCTGTTCCCGTGAGCAGGTTGTTATTGTGATGATGCAGTTGGGCTGAAGGGTAATCGGATCTCCTGCTCTGGGCAATAGTCACTGCAGGGGCCAGCGAGGAAGGGATCCTCTGGCCGCTTACATACAGCAATGCAGCAGCACCTGGGGGCATTATGTTTGGATCCTCCTGTCAGCTGAAGTGTCAGATATTGGCTGCTGCTGCTGAATGTGGGATACCAGGGGGATGCACTGATGACCTGTGCGATCGCACACCCTTCATGCCTATTGAAATACACAGGAATCCTACCCTGTGCAGCACTGTAAGAGCAGGATGCTTGTGTGTTTTGATCCCCAGCTGACCGCTCACAAGAGTGGAGTGTTAGGGCACAGAGGATGGATGTCCCATGTGCCTCCACCAGCTGGCAGGCCTAGTCTTCAGGCCTGTCATCCTTGTTAGGGTCTCTAGGACCCACTGAAGATACTCTTTGACTGTCCTGCTGCCTTGTGCCATTGAGCTAGCACTGCTGTAGGGAACATTTATCACTGTCTATTACAGCCCAGCTCACAGTCCACAAGTCACCCAGTGGCACGGAAAGACATTCCTCCATTAAGACCAACCTGCTTCAAGCTTTGTGTTGCTTTCCTCCAAAGGAGTGGCTGTCCTGGCTGGCCAGCAACATATCGGAATCTCGCTACGCCGCCCATGCAAAGAGCTGTTATTACAGTCCCCAGGAAAATCATTGTCCCACACATACACATGCACACACATCTGTACCTGCACACACATATACGCACACACACACACACACACAGAGGTACCAATGAACTCCAGAATGTCAAGGCTGTATTTCTCATCTTTTACCAGGGCAATACAATACATTACAGAGCAAGGACTGAGACCCTCTTACTGTCAGGCCATCAGGTCCGTAAAAAGATTTTTGTACAGAGCAAATTACCAGGTACTCACTGTCAGAGGCAGCCCTAGGGCAGTGAGGCCAAGCCCCAGGGGAACAAATCAGGCTTCTGGTTCCAGATGATGGCCAAACTGCAGAGTGACAGCTCCAGAGGACATGTGCGTGTGCGCATGCACACACACACACACCTGATCACATCTGATCTTGGAGTCTCCCATTCTGGGTTCTAAAGCTGCCATGTGGAACCCTGCTGCTTTTATGACATCACCCCACCTTCCCTTCCCAACACTTGCCTTGGTTAAAGTAGATTGAAACAAAAGGGGGAGCTCTCACGTCATTATCCAGCTGTGGGGGGAGGGAGTTGTGGGAGAGGGCGTTGACCCTCCACACACACCAGTCAAGAGGGGGTTAAGGACCAGCCCCTACCCAAGCCCATCTATGAGGCTTGTCAGACCCTAACAAGGGTCTATAAAAGGGAGGAACGCAGGGAACTGGGTACCACCCAAACCAGACTGGGGCACTGTGTTGTTAGTAGCTGGAGCATGATGTGCATGCACCACTCGCTTCAGCCCTCTGGGCTGTTATTGCTGTTGAGACCCTGTTTAGCCACGCAGGAGAGTGGGAGCCGCAACAGCCTGCAGCGCTGAAAGCCTGCTCCCCTCTCCCGCGCATGAGGCAAGGGCCGTGGAACTAGTTTTCTTTTGTCTGGCCTGCTTGCCATCCCCTGGCAGGGGGCAGGCCTGCTTACACGGCACCAATGGAAGGGAGCACCTCAGAACCGCACCAGAGAACTATGTAAGAGGTGAGCCAGGCGCCCACTCTCACCCAAAGGGTCAGCCTGAGACCTAATGCGACAGGGAGCTCCAAGCCAGGGAGAGGGGAGGGAGCTCCCCCTCCATCTCGCTGCCCTGTACTCTCACCCCTGCACCCCCTTCCCCCTGAATCCTTGGCATCTGGGCGGGGGTGGGTATGTGTGTGCGACAGGAAGTATCCTTGTTTGTGACAATCTGAGAGCCTGCCTGGGCTGCACTCTTCGTGGTATCAGCACATGAGGGGCCAAAGTCCCATAGCAGGCTACCGTGAGCACAGAAAGGGAGAAAAGCCCCAGGAGGAGGAGGGTTTGCTCCAGGAGATGACTGCCAACAAGAGAGCAACTTGCGGAAGACAGAATGGTGGCACTGGGCCATGACAGTGCAGGAGCACTATTGACTCAGCAAAGGAAGGGAAACAAAAGGGCATGTAGGACAAATCCCACAGCCCTGAGTCAGGCTGCATGGCCACTGGCTTCAGGCATTCTGCCTAGCTAGCACAGCCCCAGCCTGGACTCTGGCAGGGGCCGCTGGGTGCGCTGAACCCCAGCTGATTGCAAAACGTGGCCCTTGGGTGACGTTCTTATCTCTCCCTCCAGACCACGCCCTCAATCGCTCATGCTGGGGCCAGGGCCAGGTCACTGAGAGTTTATGGAAAATAATGAAGCAGACCTCAGTGGCTAATTAATTATTAGCTGCTATGAATGCTGACTCTAAGCCCCATGGGGATTTCAAGGCTGGCTGAGCCTGGGGAAGAGAGGTGGGGGGTGGGAGGGTGGCGGCAGATGTTTGCTGGAAAATTACTGTTTAATTATTTAGTGCTATGCTCCGACTATATGGCACACAGTATATGAGAAAGAGAAAGACGGGAAGGGCAGGCGACCCATAAACCTTTGCAGGATCCTTTCTTCCGACCACTTGGAGTGCTCTGTGCCACATTCCCAACCCAGCTAGTGTAAATGCATGAAACTCCACTGAAGTGAACGGTGCTGCTTCTGCTTAGACCTGCAGTGAATGTGGCCCTTCTTATGGGCTTTGGAAGATCTTCCTCTTTGGGTCGCTCCAGGCTTGGTGGCGGTTCAGTGTCCAGCCAAAGCTAGGTCCTTTAATCCAAAGCTGTCAGCCCATCAGTATGTTTGCTGGGTGTCGCAGCCTAAGAACTCCGTCCTCAGGGCAATGTGGTTTTGCCACCGGCGGGGGTGTATCCTTAGATACCGGGCAAAGAGCGGAGGATCCAGGGAGTTCACCACGGTGCTGAAGTGATTTTGGTTGCCCTTGAAGATCTGAAAGGAGGAAGAAATTGTTGGCACTTTCTCTGCTCTGCCATGTCAGGGCTGCTCACTCCTTCAGTGGGGAAAGATTCAGAGATTCATCCCAGGAACCAGCCCCTGGATGTCAGTGGAGTTACTCTAGGGGGGAATCTCGGTCAGCTGGGGGTAGGACCAGGGCCGGCTCCAGCTTTTTTGCCGCCCCAAGTGGCGAAGCGGAAAAAAAAGAAAAAAAAAAAGATAAAGCCGATCGGCGGCCCTTCGGCAGCAGCTCGGTCATGCCGCTTCATTCTTCGGCGGCAATTTGGTGGCAGGTCCTTCGCTCCCTCTCTACTGAGGGACCCGCCGCCGAATTCCCGCTGAAGACCCGGACGTGCTGCCACTTTCCATTGGCTGCCCCAAGCACCTGCTTCCTTCACTGGTGCCTGGAGCCGGCCCTGGGTAGGACAATGCTAAGGAAGGCGATCCCTGTATCTGAAGGACATGGGAGGGGAATTATTTCAGGTGGTGCAAGCAGAGGATATACCTGTGAGGAATGGGAAGAAAGGAAGCAAAGGAACATAGCAGAGGAGGAGGGTTCTAAACAGCAGGTCTATCAGATTGAAGCAGAGATTCCCAAGGAAAGGAGTAGAAGCTTCATCACTTGGGAAATTTAAAAATAAACAGGAAAAGATCTGGAGAATAAACTAGAGGAATCAGTTCTGCACTGCGTTGGGTGCAGACAGCTAATTGCTCTAATAGGCTTTCTCTATCATTCAGTTACAGCCCAGGTCTAATATATGGGGAGGCAGTGTATGGGGTGGTGTTTAACATCTTTATTAATGACCTGGATGTAGGTATAGAGAGCATACTGATCAAATGTGCAGATGACACAAAGCTGGGGGGCGGGTGCCAACACTTTGGAGGATAGAGCTAAAATTCAGAGGGATCTTGATAAATTGGAGAACAAAATGAAATTCAACAAAGACAAATGGAAAGTGCTACACTTAGGAAAGAAAAACCAAATGCACAGATACAGAATGGTGGATAACTGGCTTGGCAGCAGCACTGCTTAGAAGGATCGGGGAGCTGTGGTGGATCACAACCTCAACATAAGTCAGCAATGCCATGCTGTTGCAAAAAAAAAAAATAAATAAAAAAAAATGCAATTTTAGGTTGCATTAACAGAGGCATAGCATGCAAGTCATGGGAGGTGACAGTATCGCTCTACTGTCCAGTTTTGGTCACCAATGTATAGAAAGGATGTAGCAAAACTGGAAGGGATCCAGAGGCGAGCAACAAAGATAATCAAAGGGATGGAATGTAAGCTGTATGAGCAAAGGCTGCAGGAACTGCATATGTTTAGTTTGGAAGAGAGGAGATTGCAGGGGGGATGCGAAATATTTGAAAGCTGCCATTACAAAGATGGAGAAAAATTGTTCTCTTTTGCCACAGAGGGCAGGACATAGGGTGACCAGATGAGAGGAAGAAAATATCGGGACATTGAGGGGGTCGCTGATGGAGCAAAAAAAAAAAAGCGGAGTGCCGCAAAATATCGGGACATCAGGACAAACGCCTAAATATCAGGACGTCTGGTCACCCTAGCAGGACAAGAGGCAACGAGTTCAAACTACAGCAGAGAAGATTTAGATTAAATCTCAGGAGAAACTTTCTAGCTGTATGAACATTAGGACAATGGAACAGACGCCTCGGGAGGTTGTGGAAGCTCCTTCACTGGAGGTTTTCAAAAGGAGGCTGGAGCCATCTGTCCTGGATAGTTTAGACACAACAAATCCTGCATCTTGACAGGGGGTTAGACCAGATGGCCCCTGTGGTCCCTTCTAACTCTCTGGGTCTATGATTCTATGATTCTTATACACAGAGGGAACACACATACTAATAGACTGTTCATAGAATCATAGATATCAGGGTTGGAAGGGACCTCAGGAGGTCATCTAGTCCAACCCCCCGCTCAAAGCAGGACCAATCCCCAACTAAATCATCCATGTTGCTGTGTCATGAGTTCGTCCCATCTCCCAGCTGCTGCAGCACACACGGTAACCAGTTCTCCTCCATTATCCCCATCCCCCTGGGCCATTGCACAGTCAGGATTTTACCAAGCCCCTTATTCTGGCCTGCAGGTTTCTAATTTGGGGGTGATGCGTGTTTTCAACAAGTCCCTGTACTTTGCTTTCTGACGAGCCAGGTGGCACAAGGGTAGTTACAAGCAGGGCTGGTGGAATTCTGCCCCACCGCAAGGCTTCACCGCAAGCACCAACGGACACAATGGCAGGAAACCATACCTTAGAGCTGGGCGAAACTTTTCGGACAAAACTCTTTCTCACCTAAAACTGGATAATTGGGTCGACAGAAATATTTCATGCATTTGTGTCAAATTCTCTGCATTGTTTTGGTCAAGAAAAAAAATGCAAAAAAATGGAAAATAGATATTTCGATTCAAAATGATTTTTTGTTTCAAATTTTGCTTCAATTTTATTTTTAAAGGGTTAGAAAATCTTTGGAACAAACGGAAAAGTTTTGGTTTGGGTGAGACATTTTCAAATGGGGAAGAATATGCCCAGCCCTGCAACAAGGTTACCCACCCTCTGCCTCCAGCAGCACTGTGCTATGCTATCCACATGCAGCAACCACCCTAGGCACTCCTAGCAAGTGCAACTCAGGAGATGTTTGTTTGCCAAGTGGGGCTGCTGCATCTCTCCTTGACTAGTGCCCTGAGAAGACAGTTTTGTTTCAGTGGAAGAGCAGATAAATTACCTGAGTCCCATAGTACCCTGCAGCACATTCAGACTATGTCTGCCCTTTAAAGCAACGTAGTGCTTCAGTGTAGACAGCACCTTCACTGATGGGAGGAGTTCTCCAATCACTGTAGTAAATCCACCTCTCCGAGAGGCTGTAGCTAGGTCGACGGCAGAATTCATCCGTTGACTTAGGCCTGGTCTACACTACAGAGTTAGGTAGACACACACAAGGCAGCTTGACCTAACTCTAAGTGTCTACACTAAAATTTTGCTCCCATTGATGTAACTGCTCCATTATGCTGACTCTGCAAGAGGCGTAGAGTCAATGTTGATGTAGTTAGGTTGACCCAGGTCAATGTGGAGCTTACACTGACTGTTACTGGCTTTCACAAGCCATACCACAATGCCCCACACTGACAGTACAACTGGTACAAGCGCTCCTGGGGAGGACGCGCACTGCCAAAACAAGGAGAAAAGTGGTTTAATTACTGTGTATGCCAACGTAACTAAGGCTTGGTCTACACTACATACTTACTTCGGTATAACTACGTGAAAAATACCATCCCCGAGCGACGTATTCTGCCAACCTGTATAGATAGCGCTATGTCAAGGGGAGAGCTTCTCCCGCCGACACAGTGACCGCCTTTCACGGAGGTGGAGTTATTAAGCTGACAGGAGAGCTCTCTCCCATCGGCTTAGAGCATCTTTGCCAGACGTGCTGCAGCTGCGCCATTGTAAATTTGTAATGTAGACCTGCTCTTAGGTTGACATAATTTTGTAGTGTAGACATGCCTTAGTGCTGTCTACAGAGGGACTTTTAGGTTGGCTTAATTGGTCATTCAAGGATTTTTCACACTCCTGAGCAACGTTTGACTAATTTTCTAGTGTAAATCAGCTCTCACCCTGGAATAGGGGTTTACAGCTGGCTGAGGGGGGCTGTTTTGGGAGGAGCCCCTCATTGTTATGCTGAAAGCTACTAATGGCTCTGACTAATGAGTCTGATCCAATGGCTGTGCCAAGTGCTCTTTTTCAGGCTCAATGGAAGGAGCAAATAAGTCACTTTATGTAGGAGAGACAATGGAGGACCTGCCCAAAGTACTTGGCAGTTCAGTGGACTGAGTACAAACTCAGGGGCTAGGAGACTCAGACTGGTTTGGAAGCCTGTGTGTGTTAGCGAAAGAAAGCCTGCAGGATGACTGGAGAAGCTGTGAATGTGATCCTGGGAGGAAGCTTAGCTCACTGAAGGGTAAGAACCCAATTGTCCAGTATTAAACCAGACAGACAGTCCTGCTTTTTAGGGTATGTCCCACTTCCGCACAGAAAAAAACAGATGTGGTTTTGTTCAGATGGGAGACGTCCATCTGAAGAGCAGTGTGCTCTTAACAATGGCATGTCCCCCACTGCCCAATGCAGCATGACCTTGTGTGCACGGTGCATCCAAGGTCAAGCCAGTGGGGGTGGGGTCATGCTGGCAGGGGTGGGGTCATGCCATGCCCAGAAGTACTGGAATGTCTGGTATTTGGGAATGAGTGAGTGGTCCCCTACTGGAGGGGCAGACATGGGAATTTTACAGCCAAGAAACTGCCTACTGTTGTTTCTTTCTACCTTTTCAGAGAACCAGGACTTTGTGTGCGTTCTTGGTACATAAACAGGATTGCACCAAGAACAGTCCTGACACCTAGCACCGACTTCTCATCCTAGCAGAAAAACCCCTCTAATTGCTCCATCCAAAGAGACAACATCACAACCCTGGCAGCACATTACTGCCAAGTGGCCCTTGAGTTGCCAATGACAAAAGCCCCAGGAGTTGCTGTTGGTTAAATAAAGATACAGAGAGGTTGCCAGCCCCTCTCCAAGTGTGAGCCCAGGAGTACCAGCAGGGCCATCCTTAGGATTTATGAGGCCCTATGCAGTATTATTAAACTGGTGCCCCTATGCCCGAAGGCAGCCCAGGCTCGCATGTGTATTTTAGATAAGGGTGGTCTTTAGAAGGATTTATTTAAAAAACTATATGCATTTAAGGCTAAAGATGAATACTCGGATTGTGCATCTAAAAATCTATGCAAGGCTTTTTTAGAGATGTGATTTTATAATCTTCAGCAACACACTAATGAAATATTTTTAAAGCAAATTTTAAACTAAGGTCCTGTAGACTAACCTGTTCTGAGTAAATATTACAGTAATGCACAACTGTTTTTGTCAGTAAATCCAGAAACTGACAGTATATACCTGGGGATTGGCAAATGCCTGTTAAATGGCTTCATTACCACTTGAATGGCTCTTTAACAGTTTCAGTGTTATGCTAATAGGTCTGGCAGGCTGGAAGGCTTTTTCACTTTTAAGTACTAGATCCCTTCCAGAGGAAGGCTCACCAGGCTGCAGCAGCCAGCTGTGGTGGGAGCCTGCAGGAAGGGTCAGAACAGGGATAGGAAGAGGCGGGAGGGTGGACACTAAGACCTAGGGCCGGGTGCCTCTTATTTTCGGGTGTCCTAGGCAGCATAGCTGTGTATGCCTAAGGACGGCCCTGAGTACCAGTGTCTGTGATCCCTTGGGCTTTCCCTGGTCCCCCATGCACCAGCCTGGCTCTGTTTACCTTCTCCTCACCATCCTGGAGAACTGGAGTCCAGCGCGAGCCATCCTGACTGCTGGAGACAGCAAACTCCTTCACAAACATGTTACTGAAGATGTTTTTGGCGCCCTGGGTTACAATTCCAGTGACCCTCATGATCTTCTCAAAGTCCACCTGCAGCCACTCATTGGGGCTGTTCACCTGGGGAATGACACACCAGCCTTCATGACCCCTTTGGAAATACCCACCAGACACGGTGCACGCAGTCCCCTCAGCTCTCAACATGTCAGAACTTTTACTTAGGCATGTCCAGTCCCTCCCACTGCTCTAAGAATGTTCTCAGCTCCAGGGAGCGAACAGGCCAGAGCCTTTTCTATGCTGTAACCTTGAGGCAAGTTGGTAACCATCTCTGGACATGGTTAGTGCTAAAACTTCAGAACAATCTCAGCTAACCAGGTGTTGCCCTGCTAGATTGGCACATGGCATGCTCCTGGAACCAAGTGAGGACACTTATTTCCTTGTGTGGGTAGGATCTCCTGACAGCGTCTGTGTCACCTGGTTGTCCAGCCCTCCTTCCCAGTCTCTTTGCAGTAGGGCATCCCAAAATGCATTGCTTCATGTGCTCTGCTGAGGCATTGTGGGATAGCTACCCTGATTTTCCCACAGCGCCATGATACAAACACGGCACGGAGCATGATTGATGCAGATGCATAAATCCATTGGAGATACATGTGTTGTGAAAAAGGCTGCTGTGTGGACTCAACTCAGCATGGTGTGTTGTAAGCATGGCAGACGAGAGTGTCGCAGTCACAGTTTACTTGTATTGTGGATGGGGTCTAAATGTTCTACAAGGAGCTGCTGGATCCAAAGAGACTTTGAACTCAACTGGCCTCACTCTCAGAGGGGCTGAGGCCCTGCAGGTCCCACTAACGTCAGTGGGCGCGAATGGTGAGTGCTCAACATTTCTGAACATCAGGCCAGGGATCACAGCTCAGGCTAAGTGTACTCACTGTTCCTACTCTCATCTCTGTAGTGCCTCCTGCTGGGAGAGGCCAAAACTGGAGTAGTTATGATCTGTCCCACAGCCAGACCTCCTGCACCCTACCATACAGAGCCTCCTGCTCAGACTGGAGCAGCTATGATTGACCCACAACTACTGCTCCTCTACCGTTCTCCACAGGGACTCCTGTCGGGAGAGGCAGGGAGTGTGGCGAGTCAGTGCTCTGTCACTAGCTCAGTGCTCCTGCGAGCTTGGAAACCCCCATTTAATGCCTCGTGGTTACCTTTGGCTTCCAGGCATTACTCCTCTCCTGCAGGTTAAGTCGGGCTTGGGAGGGAGCCCAGCTGGAGAACATGTTCTCGCTGTAGGAGGAGGCAGAGATCTGCTGGTTGGAGATACTTTTGTTCTCCATTCCTAAGGGCATAGAGCAGCCTGGAAGAGAGTTGAAGCAATAGAAATCAAGATGCCTTCTGGCTGCCCATTACTCACATTTGGTGGCCTACTGGCCAACATATAGGAAGCAGCATCTATTATCACATCAAGACCAGCTGTCACAGTCCTGCTGTGCACGTACCTTACCTGGCTATAGCTCAGCTTCTGCCGTCCCCCGCCAGCCCAGCTCCCATGTCTCCAGAACAGTCCTGTGCATGGGACACACACCCAACACCCAAAGCAGCTCCTGCTCCCTCCAACCTGCTCTCACTGGGGGGGGAGGGAGCTGTTCTCCTTGAGTCACTCAGAAGGAAATGTCCGTTACTCCCCAACATGCCTCACATATCCAGTCCCAGTGTGTGTGGGAGGGAAGACTCCATCCGCTCACCTGCTCCCCATCACTCCCCTAGACTGAAATGGCAGCTGACTAAAAACCAAAAGCAAACAGGGTTCTAAGCACAGCCTTAAAACGGGTGAGGATCAGACACTCTTTCTAGGAGGGCGTTCTCAGCATGGCTAACACACCCACCCACAGCTGCTGCATCAGCACCGAGAGCTAGCTCTGTGCTCTTCCCAGGATAGCCATAGCCATCAGCCAATAAGGAGATTTTCAAGCATCAGTTACCTACCAGATGTCACTCCCTCTTCCTGTCCCCCACAGCTAATCTTGGTGTGTCTGGTGCCAGCCCTGCCACCAACGTGGTCTAACCCTGCCAGGCCCTGAGCACCTTTGTCTCTCGCTGAAATCAGCGGGAGTTGATAATTTAGCACCTGAAGGCCCTTGCCCCCCTCTGCTCCGGTGTTAGATTTTTAGAGGGCATGAGGAGGAGCCAGAAACAGAGGGCCTCATGGTGGGACTTACTGTTCAGATCACAGCCAATGAGTTCCATGCGCAGAGTGGTCCGAATGCTGTAGTGTGTGGGGTGGAGGCGGATATACCGGGCTATGATTGGCGGGTTGAAACGATTATCTTTCACCTCCGTTGCATCCACATTCCCAAAGAACACCTGCAGGAAGGGAAGAGATGGGGCCCTGTTACTCCAGCGCATGCAGAAGGAAGAGGACAGAGGTCTACAAAATAAGGAGTGGCAAGGAGACGGTCACTCCAGTCTGGCACTTATTAACCTTACCAGCTTCATAATACAAGGATAAGGGCTCAGTGAAATAAATATGAAACACCATTCAAATGGATACAAAGAAATACTATTATACACAACCCAAAATTAACCTCTGGAACTCACTGCCACATGATGTCACTGAAGAGTAGGTTCACAAATGGTCAGATACTTATATGGACATAAACATCTGCCATGACATGAACTAGGATGCAATTACTGGAGCAATGAATCTTCATGCTTCAGGGTATAAACTTATCACCTGCTGGGATTAGGAAGATATTTACCCCCTGAGATAGCATTGTATGAATTGAAGGGGGTTCAGGCCGCTGCAGAAGACAGAATGCCTGCCTTCATCACATCCTGTCCTATCAGTCAGTTCTAGAAAGATGCAGCATCCTTTTCAGATCCTACTCTCTCTCCTTTACTCACCATCTGGGAGCTGGTGGCATTCCCCTTGTATCTCTTCCATCTCTCCCCATCAAGGCCATAGAAGATGACGAACTGGGAGATGTAGAGGCTGGAGAGCTTTTGCCGGGCCCCCTGGGTCTTTATGCCTTGAAGGATCATGGGACGCAGCAGATCCACCTACCGAGGGAATACAGAGATTCATTTCCTGTAGGGTGATTGCCCTTTGGTATCCGCTGCCAACGACAGTGCGACTTGCGCATGGGGTTTGACTCCTCCTAGGTTTGGGGTTGGGGAGGAGCTTCCCTCCCTGATATATTTGGGGAGGGTGTTGCAGAACCCTGGCTCATTGAGCAAGGATAATCTGTCAGGACCAGGCTGGGGTATCCCACACAATCAGTGATTGCAAGGGCCACTGGGAGACCTCAGTCCACCCTCTCATCATCTTCCCCTCTGCTATTCAAACACAACCAACCTTCTGCGATGGCACTGACAGACCCTAAGAAATGTGCCAATCTAACTCTCTACACTCACTCTGCAGCCCCAGTGGCCCCAGTCTCTCACAGCCAGAACGGATATTAACCAGCATTAGGAAAATCACACCCATGAGTATGAAGGGTTGAATGGGGAAAGAGGAGCCTCAAGGGGAGGGGACATGGTCTTCCGTTTAAAAAAACAGGGTAGCGACTCAGGACGCATGCTCTACCAAACCTGTGAGTAACCGTAGGCAAGTCACTTCAAGCCTCGGTTTCCCCATCCATACAATAGGGATAATATACAGGATTGCTAAAAGGTTGAATGACTATTTGTGAAGCATTCTGAGATCCTTGGATGGAGCATGCTATAAGAGTATTATTATTGTGTGTGTATTGTCAGGAGATTATCACAGACACTGTGCTGGCACATTACAGTTTTATTTGCTTTGTTATAATTATCTTAACATGACAGTGACTTTTGTGGGTTTAAATTCCCCTCCACATTTTCACAGCATAGTTTAAGGGCATTCAATACAACTGAAAAGGGATGAATTTAACACTGGTAAAAGGAAAGGCTGTTTTTTAAAAAAACAGTAGATCATTAACCTTTGGAACTCATTGCCACAAGATATGATGGAGTCCAAGTGTGTAGCAGGATTGATAAAAGGATCTGACATTTATATTAATAATAAGAATACCCAAATTTATATTAGATGGGATAAAATAATATAAGGAATATCAACTTTCAGACTTCAGGGCACAAGTCAACCCCTAACTGATAACGGTTAGGAAGATTCTTCCCTTATGGCTAGGTTACTCCATAACAGGGCCGGCTCCAGGGTTTTGGCCGCCCCAAGCAGCCAAAACAAAACAAAAAAAAAAAAAAACAAACAAACAAAAAAAAGCCACGATCGCGATCTGCGGCGGCAATTCGGCGGGAGGTCCTTCGCTCCCAGGCGGAATTGCCGCCGAATACCTGGACATGCCGCCCCTCTCCGGAGCGGCCGCCCCAAGCACCTGCTTGAGAAGCTGGTGCCTGGAGCCAGCCCTGCTCCATAGTTGTCCGGTAGGGGATTTTGCACCTTCCCCTGAAGCAGCTGGTACTGGTCACTATTGGAGACAGGATACTGGACCAGATGGACCGTGGGCCACATCTGGCCTGGTAGTTCCTATGTTCCTGTTTACAAGTGTGGGTTGATCTGGTGTTTATGTGAATCGGGGATGATTAGTGCTGACTAAAGTGAGGCTGGCTACGATACTTGTCAAGATTTTAACTATTTAAGCTGGAGGATTGCTCCCATTCTTAGGGCTGGCATTCTCACACACAGCAGTTTGAGCTGAGAATCCACTTTGAGGATTGCAATGCTACAGTGCCAGGGCCGCCCAGAGGGGTGTAAGTGGGGCAATTTGCCCCAGGCCCCGCAGGGCCCCCCACAAGAATGTCGGAGGCTCTCCCTGCCTCCGCCTTCGCCTTCCCCCATCCCCTGGTGCCTCAGCACGCCACGTCGAGGAGCGGCCCTGGACAGCGCTGCAGCGGCGTGGCTCAGGCGGCGCCTGAGGTCCTCCCGCTCGGAGCCGCGTGGTAAGGGGGCAGGGCTGCGAGCTCCGGCGGGCCGAGCGGCAGGAGCTCCTGAACGCGGCTCGCTGAGGCGGGGGTAAGCGGCATGGTAAGCGTCTCTGAGCCGGGCACCCCCCAACCCCCAGCTCCAAGCCCAGCCCCTCTGAGCCGGACATGACCCGACCCCATCCCCCCCCCCCAGCCCTGACCCCCAGCTCCGAGCCCAGTCCCTCTGAGCCGGGCACCCCCCGACCCAGAGCCCAGCTCCCCACCCAGCCCTGGGCAACAGTAGCGCCACGCCCAGGCAGCCACAGCCCATTGGCGCCAACCATCACCATCACCCAGCAACAGATCATTATGTAATTGCAAATGTATACATACCATTAAAGCATTTAATGTTTTAAAATAATGTATTTCGTGTATTTTCAAATTAAAAAAAAATAATTTTTGAATGTATTTCACTGGTTATTTTTAACATTTCCAAATACATGTTACTATAGTATTGCAACTTTTTTTTATGGAAGGGACCCCCGAAATTGCTTTGCCCCAGGCCCCCTGAATCCTCTGTACAGTGCATCACTTAACCACTGTTATGCGTGTTACATCAATGCAGGAAAATCCACATTAAAAATAAACATGGAGGGCACCTCATCTGTTCTGCTCATTAATAGGAAACCTCTCACCAAAAGGGAATCTGGTATTTTTCTCTCTCTCTGTGTAACATGAAATATTCTTGTTTTTTCCATCAGAGGGAGGCAGATACTAGTGACTTCACCAGTCTGCGGGTGAGATGCTAGGCACAAGGTGCAGGAAGGGGATAGGCAGGTGGAGGGGACCCTTTCTGCGGCACTGGGAGTCGCGTGCTATTTCTAACTCCAGCAGCACATCCGTCTGGGGACACTGAGGTTAGCTCCAGAGGATGCAGAGCATGCGGCACCAGACACTGAGGTCAGGATGGGAGCGCAGAGTCCGGCAGGAGGGGACAAGTGGGGAAAAGGGTAACTTAAACCTGCAGGAAAAAGTGTGTATGTGTGTGTGTAGGAGGTTTGGAGGGGCATGTGTGTGTGTGTAGGGTGCTCAGAGGGGCGTGTGTGTGTGTGTGTGTGTGTGTGTGTAGGGGTTTGGAGGTGTGTGTGTGTGTGTGTGTGTATGTGTGTGTAGGGGTTTGGAGGGGTGTGTGTGTGTATGTAGGGGGTTTGGAGGGATGCGTTTGTGTGTATGTAGGGGGTTTGGAGGGGTGTGTGTGTGTGTGTGTATGGAGGGGTGTGTGTGTAGGGGGTGTGGAGGGGTGCGTGCATGCGTGTGTGTGTGTGTGTGTAGGGGTTTTGGAAGGGTGCGCGCGTGTGTGTGTAGGGAGTTTGGAGAGGGGGGGTGAAACATCCCAGTCTGGCAATGGCCTGAATAGCTTGAGGGCACTGTAGATGTGGTGGTGGAGAAACTAAGGGGCTTTCCCAGACTGAATTGCTCACTGTCTCTTTCTGTAGCCCATCCACAGGGCAAATGGCTGGTGCCTGCAGGCATCAGAGGCTATTATTAATTTCACTGAACAATGTCTCCTTCCTCCATAAGTGAAACCTACCTGAATCCAGGAGTTGCCGCTGTCAGTGCTCCAAGCATTGACAGACCCCGAATAATCTAACCGAGCCAGCCTAGGCGCCCATTGACCTGTGGAAGAAGAACACAAGAGAGATGGGGAAGCCATTGGGTGAGTTCACTCACTGACATGGAAAGACAGGCGTGGTGACTACAGCACCAGCAGCAGAGTCAGAGCACCTCACTCAGTGGGACTGTCTGCCTGCCCCTCACTGTTCAGACCTGGTTCAATGTCAGATGGGAAGTCTGGGCTTAGATTAAAAAGACAGAGTAACACAGAGTCTGGGTAATCTCCACTCAGGCATCTTTGTGTGACAGAGCCCTGCTTCCCACATTTACCCTCTCTTTAACAGTGGCCACCATCCTGCCAAGGGACTGGGTCTCCCCGTGCATCACATGTTGTCTGGACTGTAAAGGGCTGTAGGGAGAAGGGATAGCTCAGTGGTTTGAGCATTGGCCTGCTAAACCCAGGATTGTGAGTTCAATCCTTGAGGGGGCCATTTAGGGATCTAGAACAAAAATCTGTCTGTGGCTTGGTCCTGCTTTGAGCAGGGGGTTGGACTAGATGACCTCCTGAGGTCCCTTCCAACCCTGATATTCTATGACCTTCTCGTGTAGAGAAACAAGCATCTTGGCCATACTTCTGCTATAACAATGGCTAATGGATTCTCACTAGACTCCTCTGGGGGCTGGAGGAGGGTGCTCTCAGCTGACAGAAGAGGTGTTCACTGGCCACAGCAGGCAGGGAAAGCTGAACTTGAGATGAAGTAGTGAACTAAACAGTAAGGATGTTTTAAGGCACCTGTCTATTGCAGATGCCTCATCTAACTGTGGTTGCAATGGAATCTCCCAGGCATAGAAGGTAAGGGATAAAATCACCAAGGCAACGCAATGCAGCATGTTGAGGCCTCTAGGAATCAAGAAAGGGTTTGAAACCCAGTTGAAAGGGGCCAG